TTTTGCCGGCATCGTCATTGAGCCTTGCCACTCTTAGCACCGCACTACAACTGGTCAAAGAGACAAGTGAAGGCGATCCTTTGACCGGTTGTATGCTAAAATTTGTGGTATCTCTCCTTCTGTCATGCAGTATTCACCTACCCTATACCCTCGAATCACCTCTTCAATATCACAATTTACTACTTGTTTTTATAAACCTAATTGAGATGTGCTCTTTTGACCAGATCACGTGAGACCTATTCACACTCCTCGCTGGTTCCTTCATTTCCCCCTCACTGTGCTTAAAGTGTTGATCCAGGACCCGTAAGACCCTTCCCTTATCTGCCTGGTTCAGTGATTTCACTCTATCGCTGCCACCGTATCCATGCCAATCGAGTCGCTATGTTCTGCACTCTGCATCAAGCCTTTGATAGCACGTACACACGAGATTTAGTGAGCAAGCCCCTAAAGTCTGGATTCTAAATTGGCATAGCAACCTAACTTGACGCTGAAGATGCCCTTATCACTGCGCGGCGTGTGCATTAAGTAAACCTCGTGCTAAAGTCGTTAGCTCATGGGCCATATTTACGAGTGAACTCATCTACTGAGAGCCAACTATCAATGTTATCCTCTGTATCTCTCGCTCTTCTATACCTAATACTAAGTCTGTGACGCTCGTATGCCCCAATCTATTGTGTGCCGATCCTCAAATGTGATAGTTCTACCTGACTTGAATAGGCTCACGGTAGAAGACTCTTCTTGCTTCCCGGTTGTTCCTCTCTGGTCTCCCTGCAATTTCGTTTCCTCAAACTGAAAATATTTTCTTGATCTAGTCGTCTTCTTTCTGCTGATTTTGCTGGTCCCCAATTTTCTTAGAGTTTGCTTAGGCAGTATCCAAAATTTTCACTAATCCTATCTTCCCCAAATCTGCTGTCCATTAGATTAGCAAAATTACAAAGGAATAATTAAATAACTTTTCAGGCTGATAACAGAGCGACGCTGGCAACGGAGAAAATGGAAAGTAGCCCAGGTTACTGGAAGACTTATCAAGTAGTAAGGAAGGATACAACCATGAAAATCAACGGGACACTAAAAGACGATTCCTACTACGATGCCGGCAAAACGCCTAGGAATCTATCAAGTCGACGGTCAGAATGCAAATTATCATGCATGCTATGTTCTCCGGACACGGTGCGTCCCTCGTTTTACCAATATGACCAAGTTGCGAAAGTAAGGTCATACAACTTCTAAGCGAAAAGAAGACTGCGATCACACAAAAACTACACTATCTTGGTCTTCATACCATCGATTGAACAGGAAAGTAGGTCTATAAAACTTTCTGAAGTTACTGAATAGAGTAGATGGGATATCTAAATTCATCATAAAACTAGAAAAGGATAGAAGTTTATCTTTTCTAGATGTCCTTATTAGTGAAAAGGGGACTAAATTGAATATATGCGTATATGAAAAGCACAATCGAGATTTTTCTTGTGAATTTCCTTTAAAATCACACTTATGGGGTGACAAAATCCATGATAAGGATTTTGCGTTTTGCATATGTTACTCACCGGGACCAAAAATTAAGGCGATAAAGAAAAGCTTTAAACAGAAACAATTGTCCATCAAGATTAAGAATTATGCTAAAATATTATCATATAGGATAAAAGAAATTATTAATTCCGAACTTGATAGAAGGCTGGCCATTGCTAGGGTCTGGATGCTACCAACAGTTAGCTCTTGAAAAAGATAGGAGAATTATTCAAGAACTGAGAAACAACTTTTAAAGGAAGAATAAAACTTTCTTCGGTAAAGCCAGTCTAACATGAATTTTCGGACCCTCTCTAGAGCAGGCTATTAAAGGTTTGTGTTTATGTGGTATCGTCTATGTGGGCAGACCTACCGACCTAAGCATAAAAGGTTATCTAAGCACATAGCAAACAGCCTACAAAAGTTTGTGGGCCCAAAAATTGAAACTAGCCGGGAATATTGCTTATACAGGATGCTAAATA